TCCCAGGTTGCCTGTCCTCGCTTCCACCTTTATAACCTTCTTATTTAACTTGAAGTTTCCTCAGCAGCTCCTTATCCATCCATGGAGGTCTCCTGGCCCTCCTGCCGCACTTCCTTCTAGTTGGGACGCAATATTCCTGAGCCCGTAGCAGGTGATTCTTGAATATCAACCAGCAGCCTTGGGCCCCCCTGCCCTCTAGGACTATATCCCATGGAACCTTACTGAGCAGGTTCCTGAAGAGGCCCAAGTCTGCTCTCTTGAAGTCCAGGGCAGTGAGCTTGCTGCGTGCTCTTCTTGCTGTCCTGAGGATCTCAAACTTGACCATCTCATGGTCGCTACAGCCAAGGCTGCCCTGGAGCATCACATTCCCAACCAGCCCCTCCCTGTTGGTGAGCATGAGGTCAAACTTTCCTTGTCAGCTCCTCTATTACTTGCAAGAGGAAGTTGTCTCCACACCATCGAGGAACCTCCTGGATTGCTTGTGCTGGGTCGATCTGTCCCTCCAACAGATATCAGGATGGTTGAAGTCCCCCATGAGGACAAAGGCTTGAGAACGTGAGGCTGCTCCTATCTGTCTGTAGAGCGCTTCATCCACAGAGTCCTCCTGGACTCATGGCAAAAGCTACTGTATAGTTTTGGCAATAGGAGTGAAATCTGACCAACCCAGGTTTGATAAACTGCATTTAAACTAAATATTGTCCATAAAACACTCTCAAGCTAAAAAAGCACTAAGTGCTAAGTATTGATTACCACTTGTCCTGTATTATATGTATCAAATGAACCAAACTGATGGAATCATCTGATGGGTCATTATTTATTATACACTTCTACACAAAAATATAACAGAGTAGCTTAATGGCATGGCTTGAAGTCACTTAGATCCAAACCCTATGACTCACTCCTGTGTTAATGTACCCATGAAGTTAATGCAAATAAATACAGAGTTCCCACCATGTTCCCAGTCTCCCTAAACAGTGCTTTCATTTAATGGGAACCAAACAAGAAAATTGAGAGATTGTGGGACCTCTGTGAGCCTAGCACTGCTGCCTGCTCCAACACAGCACACTGCCTCATCCACCAGCACCAAGGGAGAGGCTGTACTCCAAGATCCAGCTGGTCTGAATTTTAGCAACGACAACAACATGTTCTTGGATTTCTCATCAGATACATGACATTTAATTCTGCATGATTCAAAAAGCTTTAGATTAATAAGAAGGTTATTAAATCTGTGCTTTGTCTGAAAGGAGTACCACCTTTTCACGCCACAAGTGCAGACAGTGATCAAATAGACACTCACATACTCGACTCCAGGAAAAGCCTAACTCAGCGATGACTTGCAAACCTCAGGCACCAGTTTTCTTCTTGATGCCTAAAAACTCAATGCCAGGTACCCAGGTACCCATGCACATAGACAGACATACACATCTGCTAGGCACAGGAAATACAACTATTTCTGTAATCCACCATCTAATCAAACAATGGGGATTGGACTAGATGATCCCTTCCAACCCAAACCATTCTGTGATGCACCACGCTCGAGCAAGTAGCAGAACAGCCATTCATCACTGCCCAACAAATAGCTCTGAGAACCCAATACAGTACTAGCTACCTGTTTTAGACAGTTTGCCGGTACTTCTGTTGCTTGATGAGCTATCTCCTCTTGTCAGGACGGTTATCCCACCAAAACTGGCTGTCTTTGTTATGGCTGGCTTCAAGTTTCGATTTGAGCTGTCCGAGTCTGTGCTGCTCCATGGTCTCTGGTGGTCTGTCCATTTCAGTTCATTTTCTGTACTGCTCTGTCGACTGCCAGATGTTTTCCCCATGCTGTCCCTGTTACCCCTACAGACATCAGGAAACAAAGGTTTATACACCAATAAAACCATATCAGGGGAAAGTGTATCCTTGGGTACCGTGCAGTGAGACTAATAAAGAAGAAGGAAATACTCTGCATTTACAAAAGCATGCCTGAAATAGGGGATCTGACTCCTGTACCCATCTGCCTTCCCCAAGTAAACACTACTATACCCTTTTACATGCACAGCACTTACCCTTCACATACATCCCAAGAGGACTCCACTGAATGGGGCTGATGCAGCATTTCTGTTGCCTCTTGGGCAGCCTCTTCCCTCAGCAACCCTCTCACTACTTTTCCCTTTGCTTTTGCTATAATGTTTTTCTCACTAACTTCACCTGCCCTCTACCTTTGTCTTCATATCCATCCTCCTTGTTTCTATCACACCTTGTGTGGCACCTATCACACTCATCATCTGCTCCGTGAAGTTATCCAAAGCCTTCCCCTAACCATGTGTCTTCCCAGTGTGACCCCAAACTTGCCTGTGCTAATGCTCCACTTAGAGACCCACCAGTTGGTCAGGTTTTCTGATTTTTGTTCCTCTGCATACAGCAGTTGCAAAAATCTCTGGGTGGAGACTGTCTGTCCTTGGGCAGCTGCAGAGCAGCCAGTGTACTGTGAGTAACAGCACAGTAAACTGTGAGCAGAACTTCGAGGAGAACTTGGAGGTGAACTGCTTGCAATGTGCTGCTGAAATGACAAAACCAGCATGCCTACCACAGCTTAGTGCTCCACCACCATTAGCCCAAGTGATGCTAATAACACTGGCTTTTGGACGGCTTTTAGATGACTGGAGAACCTGCCAAGCTGTGTCACTTGGTACATGAAGGAGCAGCGTGTCAGAGACGGGATCAGGCTGGCGCGTTCCTTGCCTGTGACCAGAGCCTGTCACAGATGTGATCAGCAGTATTAACCTGGTGACCTTGGCTAGACCCAGACAGTGGGAAAGAGAAACAGCACAAAAGCAGCAACACAAAAAAAGGAAAAATATTTTTTTTAAATAAATTGTCCTTAAGATTTCACTGGAAAGAAAAAAAACCCAAAGTATATTATTTACCAACTCGTCATTCTTGTGCTTAGAAATTAACAATGCTCTTATATTCTAGTGGAAAAGAGAGAGAGAAACAGAATGCTTTTATATCCCGGCTGTCAGTGGTTTGGGGTTACACGAAATTCCTTTTTGTTCCACAAACTCAGATATTGGTTATTAAGAATGTCTGTGCATAAGATGCCTCCTTCCTCCTGCGTGCCCAATCCAAGGCTCTCAGATCATCCAGGTTAGCTCAAAAAAGCATGGAGAACAGTTTTTCTGCCTGCTATCTGTGGCCAGCATGAGTTCTCCATGAAAACATGGACTGACTCCTGCTAATTCCCTGTGGCTTGGGACATGGTTTGGGATACAGAACACATCTGAGTGTTCTCTGGGCAGAAGGAATTGAGTTTGGAGTACAAAGTTCACAGAGAAAACGTTTCAAAACATTACTGCTTTAGAGAAAGGAACTCCATGCTTTTATTTCAGCTTTTAATAAACCAATGAAAGGAAAAAAGGTCAGTCTGGGCACTGGTCTGTGAAACGTGCCTGTTGTATAGACTAGAGTAAAATGAACTGTGGCAGCCAAGCAGCTGAAAGTCCCAGATGGTTCCTGAGCCAAAGATCTGTAAAATCCAAGGAAAGGGCCTCGTTGTGACCTCTCCATTCAGAGAGCATGGGATGAGCAGGGTCAGAATTCTGTTGCCCATTCTTCTTTCCATCCAGCAAATTGACATACCCACACCTGTCAGAGCTTCCCTCGGCGAGGACACAGAATCATGAGTGTTACTGGGAATTGAATATTAAATAAAGTCATACAAACCTAAAAAGCTGTCTTTTCTTATGGGTATCATTGCATATGCTACTGTCTTCCAACAGCCTACTGAAAAACGAAAAGAAAGATTATGGTAACAGACACGGTAATTCAAATTCATCTTATCTGTAAACCCATATTTCATTTCTAGCACCGTCTTCCAACTTGTGCTAGAGTCATAGTTTAAAAAAACAAGGCTAAAATTGCACGCCCTGTAACTGTGCACAGTCAATTGAACACAGACAGGTCAGCCAGGGAGGCTGAAGGCCATTTAACACATCCTGTTACTGAGCGAGGTAATGCTCAGAAGCCAAGAAACCATAGATCTACATCCAAAAGAAAATTCATAAAACTATCACCCAATAAGAACATAAAAAAATGCAAGCCAGCAAAACACTGCATATATCATTTTAAGCACTTGCTAAATCACCTGGAAACCTCTGCAGCTCAGAGAAATGCTCAGGTTCTCTGAGGAAAAAGAAAGGCAAAGCACTTAAACATATACCCAACTACCAACACAGCGAATCAGCAAGACTGCTCATGTGCAGAGCTAAGTACGAATGTAAGTGCTTCACCTGACCAAAGGCATGCAGCAAGAAAAAGCAGTGTTCTGAGGAATGCCACCGAAGCCTCCCTCTTTCCAACGAGAGTGCAGGTAGTAACAGCAGCCCAGTTTCCAACCTGGCCCTTTACTGGTCTCCACCTGGATATGCATCCTCATACCAGGAAGCCAGCTCAGAGGTTCGAGCAAAAGAAACCACGTGCAAACACCAGGACTGGCCACGTTCTCCTGCAGGCAGGAGTGGGATGGAATGCATAAAGCAGTGGAGGGCTGGCTAGGAAGTTCCCGGTTCATCCCATCAAGGTCCCCACCTTACCCTCAGCAGTGCACTACGTGAGCGCTTTCCATACCGATACGGGAACGTGAATAACTACATCAGGTTTACTGTCCCAGTCTCTCCAGAGAGGGAAACGGAGGTTTACGGGAGCACCTGCCTTTTACTTTTTGGTTTCCTCTGTTGCAATTTTGATAAAACAATTTCCATAGTCAAGATACAGAAGCAGCACCTGAGGAAATCCTTGGCTCTTAAAATCAGAGTTGGTTAGTTAGTTAACGACAGTGGCCATTACCTCCCGAGGGCCTTCTCTCATTCCACTTACAGGACTGTCCATCGGAAAAGCTGGTTTATACCATTATTGTGGAGTCATTTGCTGTGAGAGCAGCCTCACCCATAAATGCATCTGACAGACGTAAGGATGGACAGAGATAGAAACACCATGAAAGATAACCTCCCTTTCTGCACAGGGCAGGCCCAGGCTAGCACTGCTCAAACACTCACCAGTCAAAATCCCACCGTTTTGGTTAAAATCCTTACTTGCCATAAAGGTGCACAATTCCCAAGTTTTTCAACGCAGTTAAGCTCATTTATGGCTGCTGTGGAGCCAGTACTTCACATTTTGTGGATCTTAAACAGTTTCTTCTTCCCTTTGCTTTAAATGGATTTATTATAATGAAAAAACCATCCATTGGAAGCGTCACACAGTCATGCAAAGGAACCGTGTGTCAGGTGTCTCCATTTCATTACTACATAATTACTACTGTGCAGCAGGAAAGCAGGTCTGGGGCACTTGGGAACCTTCACAAGCACCAAGAGAAGTCAGTGCTGCTGCTCAGCGCCACAGGAGAGTAGGTTAAATGACAGAAACACAAGCGTGGTGGTTCATCAGCACTGCCGGCCAGCCGCTGCCAGGGTGCTTTATAAAGATCCATAAGTTAAATGCTAAAAGCACTCCAGAGACAGATTGGGCATTTGGAATGAAACCTTAGGTGGGCTCCCCCTCCCTCCCACAACCTGCTTTGTAAGCTGAAACGCCCCATCTTGGGAAAGCAGCAGAAGCACCGTATCTGCTCAGATACGATCCTGCGAGGCAATCTCTTTCACCCCCTCTTAAAGCTCAAAAGCACTGCAGATAATATGGATTACAAGTTTGCTTAGTCTTCACATTAGGATAAGCAACTATAGAACTAGAGACAGACAAAATAATAAAAGAAACAGCTAAGTTTAACATTAAAAAAAAAAAAAAGCAAACTATTTTTTACCTGTTTTCCACAAAAAGGTTTTCCTGGGAGCAAACTGACTGAAAAATAAAAAAGGCATTGTATCAGACGTTCTAGATATGCTCTGCTGTCCCAATTCCTTCCTTGAGTTTAGAATTACCTCCCCTGCTCAGGCTTAAGGGGATTTCAAATCATGCATCATTTGCATTTGCAGAAGACAAGAGGGGGGGAAAAAAGGTCAAGAATAAGGTCAGGCCAATAAAATAAATTCCATGCATTACACCACATTGCCAACGAGGGGTCTCAGTTTGGAACCAAACTGAAACTTCTCAATACTGAGATCAGAAGAAGGTGGGATGTGCAAAATACTGGCAATTCAAAGGGGAAAAAGGCTTTTCGTACGTAACAAGGTTCCAGTGGTCTGCCCTACCACCTCAAAAGGAGATTGCAGAATAGCACAGAGCTGCAGGTAGTAAGGACAAACAGGAGGAAAGCATGCAGAATTGACAAAGTTCTTCAAAGGGAGAGAAGATACTGCAGTACTTAGAAATACTCTGTGATTTCACATTTTATAGTTGGAAAGGAAACAGTCATACCCACTTTGAGATACAAAATTATGATAATCACATTAGTAATAACATTAACATCAATAATAGCCTATTTCAAAAGAGTTCTCTGGTGCAGGACTTAGATCCCATGAAAGGTGAAGGGCTCAGAAGAAATAAATCCTATGGGCAACCCTGTAACTCTTTTAGCATTACTCAATTTTTTATTTAGAGAAATGAAGCTGTGCTCAATTTCCCATGAATAATTCTCTCTCTTTGATTTTCTCATTTCCCTCCTATTTCATGTTGACTACACAAAGTGCCTCGTAGCTGTCACTGGATTGTATCTCCATGATGTACAGAAGAAAGAACAGTCAGTACTTGCACTGATTTTAAACAAAAGGGAGGAGGGCACCAGAGATCATGCCCATTACTTCTGCAACAGCAGGACTCAGCTCAAAGAATAATCCAATGCCATCATTAGCTGTGTCAGATTTTAACGGTGTGGGATATGCAAGGATTGGGAATGTTTCCGTTGCAGAAAGGGTGAGATAATGACTTACTCAGAGAGCACTGGCCAACACCAGAAGCTCATTCCCAGTGCTCAGCAGATGCATGAGCAAAGTTAACCCTTGGCACCATACCTAGTGCCATCCCATCAATTCATACAAGGAAGGAATTTAACCCTGAGAAGGAAATGTGGTTTCTTGTTAAAGCTGTAATTCTCCTGTCCAGCATCCACATCAGGGAGCATCTGACAGCTCAGTGGGCTTCCCAGCTGAGCTCTCACTCTGCACCCCTAGTAAACATGCAAGGCTCTGGGCAGATTCTGTAGCAAGTGCGTCTCTCTTTAGCACAAAGCCTTAGGATATGAGGAACAAGTTCTTCACTCCCAGGGCCAAATTTGCACCATCAACAGCAGACCTAGGCTTTCACCCCCATCTGACAGCAGACACAAACTGCTCCCTCTAAAACCACTGGAATCCTTTGTACAACTATGACACTGCCTCTTCTCTCTTTTTATGTACCTTACTCATAAGGTTTCATCAACAAAGGTGGTTGTGCAGACTTCAGCATAGTTTAACTACCTATACGCACAGCAAAATCACCCCGTGGGCTTCTACAACCTCAGCTGTGGGGCTGTCTTCACTTGCAGGTTCATGATAAGCATTTGTGATTGACTTCACAGCTGTCCCATTTCCAAAGCAGCACTATAGCTATTCTTCAAGACCAAGCAAGTAACCTCTCCTTAGACCACAGTACTGGTCTGTGGCCCCACAAAGGCACAAAAGCAAAGGGGCATGTACCTGTCTGGAATTTTTAATAATAATTTTTTTTCCATGTTTTTATAGAGATTGGGGCGTCAGCAGAATAAATACCTAGGACTTATATTTTAATCAAGCAAGCAGAGAGGTCTGCTCCCTTTTCAGTATCTTGATGGGAGTCACTATCAACTGCATTATAGACTTAAAGACAGCATCCATAACAACTCCATTTGTCTTCCTGACTAATGTTGATGGCACAGAGCCACAAAATCCCTGGAAACTATTTTCCTGTACAGGTGTGAGGCAGAGAAGACAGGCACTTCTTCATTATATTATTCTTACTGTTAAAAATCAGATGGCTGAGCAGCTCTGAGTAGCAATTTACCTACTACAAGGTCAGGACTTGCTTTCCTGATCTATAGCATCAACAGTGCTCAATTTAAAGCACCAGAAAAGCTTAAGCAGCCAGCAAAGTACCCAGCAGAGCTGGAGTCAAAAACATTCTTAAAACACTTGGCTCTTGGATACTCCAAGACACAGAAAACAAACCTACAAAAGGAACAGAGTTTTGTAAGATTACCTAGGAATTCACCTCCCTGGAGACCTCTGCGTGCAAGGTTTCCATTAGGGTGCTCTGGATGACTGTAATTTATGAAATGAGTATTTCACTCTTCCAGTTTCCCAAAACCTTTTAAAGTCTCAACTGGAAAACATGCATCAGCCCTGCCAGTGCACGAAGTATACTGGGGGTTGCTGCTCTTAGTTTTAATTACATTAGCCAACATGGATAACTATTAACATGCAGCAATATCCTGCACTGGATACCATCAGGTAATCATTTTCACATCAGTTAACAAGATGTGATGGATCTCAGGCTTCCAACTAATGCTTATTGCTTGGTCTGCAACCACAAGCAAGGGCTCTGTACAGTAGTGCGGGGGGTTTAGTACCTATAGGTTTCTGGTACCCAACTAGGAAGGCGTGTCTTTGTTTTGTTTCTACTCATTTTAAACCTTCTTCTCCCTAATATTTTCCTACTAGAAGGATGGGAAAGGCTGAAGCCATGTTTTCAAATATTTCTTTCTTGATACTCTAATCAGAGCGTGATAAAGATCCTCAGTGTTTTCTTAAGTAGAGGAATCATGATGGTTTTTATTTTAAGGATCTGGCTCTTCAGAATACCCTCCTTAGTCAAAACCAGCCATTACAATTAACAACAAAAGAAAGCAAAGCATGGTGTATTGCCTTTAACAAGTTCCATGTGTGCCATGGGCACTTCCAGCATTTGTATAAGTCATAAAACATGGTCGTTTCTCAGTGAATACACAATGATGAGTAGAGAATAGAATTATGAACAATGGATGGTCCTTACGCGATTCTGGCTTCATGAGGTTCTACACTGTGTTAACCTTGAAGAATGACATTTCCCCCACATAATTCAATTGCTAGTCTTTAGAATCAATCTTCTGCTTGCTTAAAAGCCAAACACAGCGTATCATTTACACATGCATTTGGGAGTTTCAGTTAAATCTACAACTTGAATTAATGCACAGGGAGAGAACATCTAGTTTTACTCTTTTTGGCTGTTCTTTGTCTTTCTTGGACAATTACTTTTCAACCTGCTCAAAGCAACTAAAGCACTTCAGACAAGAAGCTTCTCCTTTGCAAGACCCAGGTACTCCAGGTCCTCTGTTCCATTGCACCTAGTTGTAAAATTCATGAACTCTTGTAATACTAATTTCCAATAAAAAACATGTTTGAAAAAGGAAGGTTGTAGGCTTTGCAATATCAAAAAACCAAAACCTTGAAAACGGCTTTGAGCACAATAGAGTTCACACAGTGCTGCTTTACTATTAGCAGCCTGAAAAGTTGGAGGTGCAAGTTGTAGTTCTTATTTCAGTGAGCTGAAATTTATTAACTATTTATTTCTTCACCAATTCTTTTATTAAGATATCTCATTAACGTGCTTCTCAATCCCTGCCACTTGCTACGACTCTACATGACAAGAGTCATTAAAACCTCCAGCTCCCCTTATCAAAATTTATGATAGCCAACACAGCTGATAGAAAGCTTGCCAGAAAGTGTAATTTAAACTTATATTAGACTAATCACCATGAGGACTATCATAATGATGGCATTATTCACGAACGTATCTATTTTGGTAAAACCTCCCCACTTGGAAATTAAGGTATCTGATGCACCAGAGTGCTGCAAGGCAGACCAAGCAAGCCTTCTGTTGGCTGGGATGTGGGGTCCAGGGTAAGACATTTCTCACAGCACTTGAAACATGCACAAAAGGTTTTGTTGCTGTAATCAGACTGCCTCTTCCTCCTGAATTTTATCAGAGGTTTGACTCCGGGCCTGATATGTTAGCCCAAGGAGTTTTGGGTATCTTGAACATGTTTAGAGAGGGGGGTGCTACGTGCAACATGTTACGGCAGTATTCTTGACCTTTGTGGCTACCCTTTGGAGACCTCTCATGCAAGCTCTCTTCATGCATCCTCTAATTAGAAGTGAAGTATCTATAATCCATTCGCTAAGGTTCATAAGCAAGGCACTGATAAAGTCTTGACTACAGCAGTGCAAACAGCATGGAGATAATAAAAATGCCACATGATTAATCCCTCTTTGCCTCTCTTCCTACATATACAATTTGCAGGATGACACAGCTTAGGTACCTACCTCAGAGAAACCTGGGGAGAACTGGAATGATTAGTTATTGCAGAGGGGCTTAAAACTATAAAAAGCCTTACATGCAGTAAGTGGCTACCTATAATAGGAAGCCATTGCTCTCTTTCCTAAAGCTGACAAAGCCACCACCACAACCACTGTCATCCTCCTGAAAAACACCACGTATCTTGAGAGTGCTCCACTCAAAATAGCTCAGCTGAGACATATATTCCTAACATTATTCATAAAACTTGCTGCAATTCATTGCCCTACGATGCTCACTGACACCTGCAATAGCAGAGAGAGAGCACAAATGAGTGGATATGAGAGAGAGAGGGAGAGATATCTAACAGTGCTGATCTTTAAAAGTGCTCACTCCCAATCCATTTGAAATGCTTGCCACAAACCACACTGTTACTTAGGTCTTGCCACTCGGAGATACTAACCCAATGGACCACAACCACCTCCTGCTGTGGACAATGAAAATGCTCCCTGCTTGCCTGTCTTTAAAACTCAAGTATCTAAAGATAAAACCAGCAGAGCTCACATTGTGGAGCAAGCTCCAGCACTTTTCCAGCCACCTCCATTTCCCAGCCTGGCATGTCTAGCTGCTGCTTATGAGAGAAACTGCACTGTATGGGCAACAACTGTCCATCTGCTGCTTTTAAACAACATTTTGCCTCATTTGAAGTCTGCTTCAAAACCCAAAGATTTTTCGGGTTTGCACAAGCAACCTGTTTCCTACAAGAAAGTTGCAGTTTCTAGCTTGTTACAGAAAGGCTTTTACAGCCTTTGAACTACTGGGTAACTCAGTGACAGGATTTACATCAGAGCCACATGCTGAATGCAAAATGCAGACTGAAGGACCTCTGCTTTTACTGGAATTGTCTCAGCCAAGAAAGGAAAAATGAGGCTAAAAACATTTTGGTGGGGCAAGCTACTTGTTAAACAGCAAAATGACTTATCAGCAGTCAGACAACACACACCTTAACGCTATACAATGTATTCTGCTAAAGAACTTGGACATGTGCAACTCCAAAACCAGAGCAAAAGAAAAGGGTATCTAAAACAATGCTATTAGCCCTACAGCATGCGAACAGCTTGAATTTAAATGGACACTGCCAAATACGATTTTCAGTAACAGTTTTAACCAGGTTTGTTCCCGTTTTCCTTTAAGTGACAGAGCTCCTGCTGAGATGTGAGATAAAACAATAAAATGTTGACTTGTTTGTTTTCCTTTCAGGACCCCATCATTACAATATTACAGCAACTTATGATTTTCTTCCTTCTTCAGGAAGATGAGGTATTGCTCACAGACGTTTCACATTGAAATGTTTTCCTCTAGCAACACCGCTTCTTGTGCAAGTTCTGATTTTTTGGGTGAAGGCAGGAATTAGAATGCCTATTTCACTGTATTCCTTTCAAAATAAAATCATCAATAATGTGACTGACTCCTTCTGATGGCAGAAATATAGTTCCTTAAGTGGTCATTCAAGAAAAGCCCCTGTGCAACTCCATGCTTACCCCTGGCTTATCTTTGCTCTTAGTGTCTTAGTGCTACAGCACTGGCCCAAAGAAACAAACCCATGAGGAGACTCTGCAGAAGGACACTTAGAAAATTTGATCCAGCTTGAAACAAATATTATAGAATCACAGACTGGTCTGGGTTGAAAGGGACCTTAAAGCTCATCCAGTTCCGCCCCCCTGCCATGGGGCAGGGACACCTCCCACTAGAGCAGGTTGCTCAGAGCCCCATCCAACATCCAACCTGGCCTTAGTTTACATGGCCTTGCTTTATTGAGAGTGTCCATTTAAATCACTGCTCTTTGTCTGTCAAAAGAGAAGGGAAACGGAAGGAGACCTAGACCACACGAACATGAACATTCAAAGAGATGGGATAAGCACTCCCCTGACAACATGCTGGGCCTGATCTCTCCTCTACCCTTCTCCCTGCACCGCTCATCACCTCCTTCTCCAGAAGCCAACCTCCACACATCTCAAGCTCCTCTCAGACCCTCTGCGACAATCTTCCTTCCCTGTCTCCTCCAGCCCCACAGGGCAGGTCCTGCTGCAGTGTTGGTGTTGGAGAGGGGCAAGACTGTCTGACTACCGGCGAAGATATGGCACTAAAGAGGCAATTAAAACAACTACTCACATCTTGTGCAAATATTCTCTCCCTCACTCTCTGATACTCCTCTTCTCTCTCTTCAATTGATTTACTTCGTCTGTCATCTCTAAATGGAAGAATTCTGTTTTGCTGAGCAGAAAGAAAACCAGGAGGGTTATATAAGTTGAGCTGTTAAAAACTGCCATTAAGTAACTGTCAGCTGAGAATAATAAATGTTCACTCAAACAAACGAAGCATGGAAACGATAGCTGTAGTTCCTGCACGGAGCACCCTGTGAGGACGGGCACCCAAGGGTTTCCAGCCCACAGAGCAGGCAGCCAAAACAAGGCTTCCTGCATGGCTTTTGTGGACCCACCATCCTAAAACCGGGTGTCCTCACCCCAAGCCTACGTGCCCTTGCTCTCAACCACTAAGATTTCTCGACTCTCTTACCGCTGCGAGGAGCAGGAGCACAGGCAGTGCTCGCAAGCTGCAGAATCAAGGATGGGAAGAGGGAAACTAGGCTGGAAGAGCTAAACTGCAAAACCTAGAAGAAACCCACCAAAGCCCTACGTGTACAAGGAGGAGAAGTCCCAGATATTCGGCACAACGCTTTCAACCATTTCCACATGGCAAGGAACCCTCAACTTCAGTTTCCTTGGGAAAAGAAGGGCAAAAAGGTTGTGCCTCTCAGGAAACGGCTGTGCCGTGGGAGAGAAGGACCCTCAGCAAGAAACGCTTCATTGGCAATCGGGTTTCATCCCAGCTCCCTGTGAGAGAGGTCATGATGCTTTCCTTTGGCTGATGCCCATATTCACTGCACCCTGAAAATGCTTGGGGTTTGTTTTCAAAGCCAACTTGGATGCAGCACAACTGGCGAGGCTGCTCTGTACCACTGAAAGCCAAGGGGAAAAAGGAAAAAGGGAAAAAAAAGCAGTCCTTTGCTGAAAACATGGAGTGTGGCAACGAGAGACTCGGTGGCAGGGCCCTCCACAAACACAACCTAAGCAAAGAAAGATGCTGTCTTCTTACCTGTGAGAATTTTCCCATAAAAGTAATTCACGTCAGTACCCTTTCTGATTGTTATTTGGTTAATATATTGCACATAGGCAGCTTGCACTGGGTTGGAACAGCACAGCACCCACTTTCCAGGCAGCACAAACATACCCATTTCCCTGGCACTCCCCTACTTGTCGGGCTCACCTCAGGTAAGGTCGTGTTATAGCACAGGCAACACAGAGGGGAACGTCTGCCACAGTACATGCACGACAAGCAAGTAAGTTACACAGACAGTAAAAGGTGGCGAGAGCACAGGAGGAGGGAGGGAACTAAAGGGTGAAACTGATCAATTTTGGGTCAAAGCTTAATTTTGGATGGGTCTGGGTTTTTTAAATCAGCCTGGCCTCACCATTGCATGTTTGTTTGGGGCATTTTTGTTTTATTTCCTCTCTCCTTTTTGGGGCTACGTCAGTTTCTCATCAGCCTACACTGAAACCATACTGCATGGGTACCACGGAAGGAGGAAGCTGCAGGGAGCGGAACAACTGCCAGAGTTAGGCGAGACATTGGGAAACGCGACTGACACAGCCTTCCACAGAGCCCAGAGCCGCCGGCATTCCCCCGTCCCGCTGGCATGCAGCACATCCTGCGCCAAGCAAACCACCCATGCAAGCCCACACACTGCCACGGCTGAAGCGGCCACGCCAGGGCTCAGTGCTACCCTTGGTACGGATGCCAAAGGAGGTGGGAAGGGAGCAGGGGAGGAGGAGAGCAACAACAAAAGAACAACAATAACATCAGTCAGCCCACCTTCGAAAACAGAACAAATTTCAGCAACTCTCGAACCGAGAACCAACCTGATTGTCTTCTTTATCAATACTAGAGTTATCTCGCTTCAAGATAAATCGCTTCTGGGATTCTTCACCTTTTTCATCTTTTAAATGTTCAGAAAACCTTTGCTCTGGTCTGCCAGCAAAGTAAAACATAGCAATAAAAAAAGCTTTCTTTTGGTTTCGCTTTGATCTTTATTTCTCAGTGCTCTTTTCTTTTCACAGAGGCATTCAGTGCAAAAGCAGTTAACAGTCGTGCTCATGGTGAAACGCTGCCTGTCGCTGTCTGAGGCTGCTGTATCGCTGCTAACTGTTATTGCTATAAATAGCTTTTGTTGTTGTGTAGCAAGGACCAGGAATCCAAAGTCTCGGTCACTGAAATATTTAGACTCTCCTCACTGTGACTGAAGGACAGGGAAAACAAATTAACATACTGTATGTTAATTTGCTTCCTTCAGTAGCTGTGGCTTCCAGCAACGCTGCTGCTTAGGGAAGCCCATCCACCTTTGAAAGTAAGGAAAAATGGACAGAAATCTTAAACCCAAGAGTTTCCTCACTTCTAATGAACAAAACCGGTAACTGGGAGGGACTGATGGTGTATTGCTTAAACAAAATAGTATCTCATCACCATGAAGCAAACAAAACACTCCAGAACAGTCAGAGTATCAAATAGTTCACGGATTTAAACCCATCCAGACATTTGTTATTTATTTATTTTTAAGGCAAACCCCACTGGTTAAAAAGTTGAGGCTTGTCAGGTTCACAAGATGTCAGGATGCTGGTTCCACGCTCTCACATTGTGCGAAATGCAGCATCTCGTGTCACCTAACTCGGTGCAAAAAGCAAGTTTTAATAAGTATCTGTTGTCACCAAGCTGGTTCCTGCCAATGCTCCGTGGCTGTCAACAAATAACACTCCAGCCTGCACCACCCCCAGAGCCAAACCTGTCGGGTTTTAAGCCCCAACAATGTCAAGAAGCAGACCAGTGGCCTCAAGAACTGAGCTGGGCTTCATACACTGCTACCGAGCAGCTGGGGGGCTGCCAAGGCACAGGCTGGTTTTTGAAAGCAGTAACACCCTGTATCATTCCATGAGGTTTATCTCAGGGAACACAAACTTTCTGCTCTGTGCTGAAGGAGCTGCTAACAGAAGCACTGGTCAGAGATGCTCTTCTCTAGAGACCTACATAAACAAGGCACAAAACTTCCCCTGACATTAATGGACCAATTGTGAAGAAATCGAAGGGTAGAATTTACAGACATCAGTGACTTGGCAAATAAAAATCCTCTGCAAACTTCCAAATAAAACCCTCTGCTTTCTCTTACTTCAGAATGGAAAATTAAACCAGATGTGTAAATCAGCCACCATTTTGTTGTTAAAGCATTCAGATTTGCACTTAACCAATTAGCAATTGATTTGAAATCAAAATAGAGCACATATTCATGCCATAATTACAGTCCGTTCCAATTCATTGTCAGATGTGCAGAAAACATTTGTAATGAACTGTTAGAAATGCAACATTGAGAGACAGAAGCTCTCCCACCCCTCTTTCTGCATGAATTTGAGGCACTCCCACTTCTGCTCACAATTTGCTTTCTTCTGACAAAGTGACAGGACATACCAGCCCCATTTCCAAGGATCCTGAGGATTCATGAGCCTTTGTCCATCACCTGTAGGTGCTAGTGCTAACAGGTACAGAGCCCAGCACATGAAAGTCAGCAGACTGTCGAGATGCCCTACTAGCCTCCTTTTGGGTAAGCGCAGAGAAACATGGCTCTCCACACAGTTCTCTAACTTAATAGATCATTTCTGACATTTCCTCATCAGCAGACGGCTACAAAGCCCCATTAACACCTGCCAGCACCAGCTGAGGAATGGCATTTTCCTGGTTTTGCATTCTAAAGCACAAACAACATTTCTGCAATTACACTATCAGTGCATAAATTTATAGCTCTGAACTATCTGCTGAGCATCTAGTACACTATATACCACGTGTAATAAATAACCGCGATTTGAAAATGCAGAGGGGAAAAAAGTAATCAAGAACATGAGAAAAAAGCTTGAAAAAGCAATTTGGGAAGATGTCTCTTCTGATCACTAACTTAGTTAAACAGCAACATAGTTTTAATATTTCATAGCATTATTTTCACTTTTAAATCCCATTTCCACTTCATTTACTGTTTATAAAATGTTTCCACTTGACAGCAGACAATAGGAGAAGCACAAGAACAAGCCACAAGCCTTAACTAATGATTCTGTATGTGCCTGTTAATAAAATTAATCTACAAGCTCAGGTGGTGATTAATGCCCAGTTGTGAAAAGAAGTTTGCTTGGGCAGAGACTCTGGAAAGGTGCAGAGTGTTATGGAGCATCGTGGTACCACCAGCACCATGAGAAGGTCCTTTCCTCCCCATTGTCACTGAAGTTCTGGGTCACCACTGCCAGTGAGGTTGCAAACATCAAGACAAGCTCAGTTAATGAGGACACAGAGCCTGAGGAATAACTGTCAGGTGAGAAACAAGATACATAGCAACAAATAACTTCAGGAATGCTTCCCTCAAATGCTAAAAATCAGAAAGATACTTTAGTTGAAATAGATGCAAATTATTGTAGAGTATACTGAGGTTTACACAGGTTTGTAGGTTTTTCTTCAATACTGTGTACTGCCTTCTCTTTTTTAACATCTATTGCAAAAAATGTATTATTAGTAGGATGCAGATGGCAAACTGTTTAAAGCTATTAAGTGGAACTAAATGCTCTCATTGTTTAGCTAGAGAAAAGGTTGACTCTGTAAAGATTTGGATCTAGTCCTCTGATGGAAGTCAGTGCAAGTCCCACATTCACAGCTTTAAAGTTCTCTGTAACCATGTTTTAGCATTTGCTAAAAGGAAGCAGAGACATTCTGGTTGTTCCAGGGAAATCTGTTGCATTAGTTTATGAATTTGCAGGTGAACGAATGCAAGAAAGTGCTTGAAAATGGAAGAAAACACCAGGTAATTTTGTGTAAGATGCAGTATACTGTCAATGTACTAATACAGTACATAATTACAGTAGTACAGCAGATACAGGGAATTTATCTCATGCGAGTCCTAAATTAATAACAATCACGTTTACTGCTCTTCTGAGCTTTTTCAGCCCTGATACTATCATTAGTAGAGTCTGCACAACCTACCAAATTGTGCTCATGCATGTAAGGGAGTGAATTTATCATGCTTATTTTCAGTACCGGCATAAATAAGGATCTTACTCAAGTTAAAACACAGTTTACATTTATTATTACAACTCAGTGTAAAATGAGAAGAATATTCACTATTACCCCATTGGGTATACCGTTACCTAATCTATATTTTCAACTCCTCACCACTCAGCTCAGTTAATTTTAAGTGGTAAAAATGGGATTTGCATAGCCTTTTGGGAGAGACCCCGAGTACTTCTGAAGACCTTATTGCTAACTCAAGTACTCTGAACTATTTAAGGAATCTTCTGCAAAAAAAACCCCAAACAAAACACCCTACAGTACCTACCCTGTATTGCTGCAGTGACCCTGGCCACACAGTGCATCCATCTACGTGCTAACAACCACGTGCAAAATAGCAGACACACCAAGATGTGCTTACAGAGTGCTGCCCACCTCTATAAGATTCAGCATTTCATTTAGCCTCCATGTCTGGCATCAGTAGATCACTGGAGAACTTCAAACCAGTACTCCAGAAAAAGCTTAGGGAGGAAATACCAATTCCCTTTCAAGTCAATAGGATTTTTGCACTGAGAAAACAGAAAGTATGACCCAATTATACCTTAACGGGTCAGAAACCAACACATGGGGAGAGGGAATCACACAGGCTAAAAGATGGGAAGTTTGGGGTGGTTTTTGTTTGTTTTGTTTTTATTTAATATAAACTTTTGACCATCTAACATTTTATTGCCTGACAATAATGGGTGGAAGCAAAACATCTGTTCCCTAAAAATGCAACTTCACAAAAATATAATTGTATATGAACTCATTTAATGCTGCATAAAGTTGGCAGGGAGTTGTCAGCACAGCAAAGTGCGCTCCCATCGCTCAAAATCCTTGGAAACATTTTCCTTATCATTTTCTTTCACAATGTAAAGAAGGGAGAGAACAGATTATGAAATCACCTTTTGGTGGGTGATCAGTTTACTCAATTGCCAGACACATGTAATAGGCATCATTAAGCTTCCCACCCACTGTTCTTCCCTGGTTCAGGAGCACTTCTGAATACTCCACTGCAGTATCAGGTCCAGGCTTGGGGAGAGTATCCAGGCAAAATCTCAGGACAATACTGCTTTGTCATTTCTAGTGCCTGTGCTCCCTTGTCATGCAGTCAATGACTGTTTCGCCTCTTTCAGCCCCATCTGAGTAGGGAAATAATTAAAACAGTCACCTCAAGATATGCATCAAGTTTCCTATTTCTGTGCTTGGAACCCTTTCACAGTGAGGGTGATCAAGCACTGGCACCAGTTGCCCAGAGAGGAGGTGGAGTTTCCATCCTTGGGATGGTCCTGGGCACAGTCCTGAGCAACTGGCTCTAGGTGGCCCTCCTTGAGCAAGGGGGTTGGACAAATAGACCTCTAGAGGTCCCATCCAGCTTCAGCCATGCTATCATTTTGTGAAACCCTGAGTCAAATATACAGTAACAAATCTATAGCAAAACAAAGCTCCATCAGCACCTTTCAGATGTTGTTGTCTGTTTTTCTCTGTTACAAGTTGGCCACTATCATTTACCTTTCTCACTTTATATGTACTTAAAAGCCATCTACAGCCCTTACTTACACAGAGCCCCAGAAAAGAACTTTTCTGGACTCATTCCTTACAGTGAAGCCTATATTTTGGAATGGTAAAGTTGGAATAAAGCAAAGTATTTCTGTGTGTCAGAAAGGAAAAAAAAAAACCAAAAACCAAAAACCCAGAAGAGTTAAGATTTTGTTAACATCCATTATAAGATTTTTTCCTACTATCATTATGGTGATTTTAATGGAAGCTACTTCCATTCGCTTCTGTAGAGTTCCTCTCAATTTATCTCTGTCTGACAGAAAACAGAGTTTGCCCCTCAGGCTTATTTTCTACATGGACTCTTTAAGGAGAATTCCCCATTACATGCTCATTTAATGCTT